AGAATAGATCGAATTAAAGGTCATACATCTCCGCATGGGCTCTGGCATTCTTGCCCAACCCACAGACGAGAATCTCAGCCTGTTTGGAATTCCTCGTCTGTGCGTCTCTAATGGGGGGAAAAGCCTTGCCATCCATCCGTTTATTATTACTATTATTTTTGAAATAGTTGCATGGACATAAGGGGGATTTTGGTGCTGACTGGTAGGAACTCCCTCTCTTTTCTTCCCTCTTTCTTTGCCCAACTGATTTTTTTTGTAGGATATTCTCCATCTTGTCTTTAAGTAATTAATTATTTGGAAATTTGTTCTGGTCAGTTCCACTGTCTTGTCCAACTCTTGTCCAACTCTTCAGGAGCCCCGAGTGCCGCAATGGGTTGAATCCTTGGGCCAACAGGACTGCTGACTGAAAGGTTGGCAGTTTGAATCCAGGAAGCGGGGTGAGCTCCCGTCTGTGAGCTCCAGCTTCTCATGCGGGGGCATTAGAGAAGCCTCCCACAGGATGGCAAAACATTCAGGCATCGCCTGGGCAACGTCCTTTCAGGCGGCCAATTCTCTCACACCAGAAGCGACTTGCAGTTTCTCAAGTTGCTCTTGACATGAAGAAAAAAGTACAACTCTTCAATATTGTTGATAGATAACAATGTTTTTTTTAAAGAGCATGCACTGTTCAAAATGATGTGGAATGATGTTAGGTGGTGCCAGAAATGACACTATGAACAGGCAGAGTGAGGTTGCTGACCTAGGTCTGATCTGGATGCCTCAGGTGGCCAGGTTGTCAATTGCTGTATATGCTTGTATATAAATTGAGGAGGATTTTGATGTGACCTGTGGATAAGTTGAAGGTCATTCCATGGATAGGGAAATGAACTCAAGCTGCTTTGGAGCAACCCTTGGCTGGCACCATTAGCACTTTTCCAGCCAGACAATCAAAAAGACCTTTTGCCACTCTTCTCAGATGAGAAGGTGTTTCTATATATATATATATATATATATATCAGTTTAGCTTTGAGTTGAGGGATGGAAATTACCAAAGAATCATTGCCACTGACATTTTCCTGCATGCGTTCACAAAAATCAGAAGAGAGGGGGACAGTCCTTCTTTTAAGTTCTCCCAGGCTGGGCTAAGCTCTTGCTCCAGTCAGAGAAGGGGATGCTTCCATTTTTTACAAGAATTAAATTATAGTACTGTATTCCTTCAATTCTAAGATGAACTTTCCCCCCATATAAACATCTCTAAAAAATGGGGTTTGTTTTAGAATAGCAAGTATTTCTTACGTATTATTGCTTCTCGTGGTATTGAAATTAGGATGTGCCTTACAATCAGTGGCATCTTACACTTGGAGAAATACAGTACTTGCATTACTCTATGAATTTATAATATAACTAGCCGTCCTCTGCCATGTGTTGCTGTGGCCCGGTCTGGTGATCTGGAAAATAAAGTAATGAGAAAGTTTTGATTTCTAATATATGTAATTTCTTTTTGCTTGTGGTAAACAGTATTTCTTGTTGTTTCTTTGTCAGTGTTGGTGTAGAGATTGTCTGCTTTGCCTTCTCTGGAACATGCAACATACAATTGTCCTTCTTTAGGGGTCCCTTTCAAATCTAGGATACTATTATCTGTCATCTATATAAATAAAAATGTAATGTTCATTTGTGGGATTAACATAACTCAAAAACCACTGGACGAACTGACACCAAATTAGGACACAATACACGTATCAGGCCAACAAGTGACCATCACTCATAAAACACTGAAAAGCAAAAGCACAGCAGAAGAGACTTAAAAAACCAAAAAACAAAAAATTCATTACAATGCATGCACAACCCCCCCCCCCCCAACACACATATATACAAATATATACACACACAAAACACATATACACAGACTGGGCCACAGTAACGCATGGCAGGGGATGGCTAGTATACATATGGATATGTGTGTGTGTGAATTATATCTATCTATCTATCTATCTATCTATATCTATGGCTGGATGGCTGTTTGTCAGGAGGGCATTGATTATGTTTTCCTGCACTGGTGAAGAGAGTTGGACTGGATGGCCTTAAGGCAGCATTTCTCAACCTGGGGGTTGGGATCTGGGCGGGGGTGTGTGTGAAAGGGTGTCAGAAGGATCGCAAAAGACCACCAGAAAACACAGTATTTTCTGTTGGTCATGGGAGTTCAGTCTGGGAAGTTTGGCCCAATTCTATCGTTGGTGGGGTTCAGAATGCTCTTTGATTGTAGGTGAACTATAAATCCCAGCAACTACAACTTCCAAATGTCAAGGTCTATTTTCCTCAAACCCCATATTTGGGCATATGGAGTATTCGTGCCAAGTTTGGTCTGGATCCATCAATTGTTTCAGGATACAGTGCTCTTTAGATGTAGGTGAACTACAACTCCAAAACTCAAGGTCAATGCCCACCAAACACTTCCAGTACTTTCTGTGGGTCATGGGAGCTCTGCGTGCCATGTTTGGTTCAGTTCCATCATTGGTGGAGTTTAGAATGCTCTTTGATTGCAGGTTAACTATAAATCCCAGCAACTACAACTCCCAAATGACAATATCGGTTTTTCTTAGTGATGGTTACTCCTTGGGTTAATAGGTGTCTTGTGGCTAAATCCGGTGGCAATTCATCCAGTAGATTTTGAGTTATGATGTCACTCAAAACGAACAGAGCATAGATAGACAGACAGACAGAGACAGACAGACAAATAGACAGGCAGACAGCTTCAAAGGCTGGCTACTTCCTGTCTGGGGGAATCCTTTGTTTTGTTCTTTTTCATTTTCTCCACATCTTTTTAGCCTTTTCTTCCTCCATCCCGTTACTGGACTTAAAGCAAGAGTATTTGTAATGCAGTCAATGATTGGTGACTTCATTGTAGCCATGAGTCACAATAACATGCCTGTTTGGGTCCTAAATTGGCACCTTGTTATTTTGCTTGTTACATTTTGTACAGTTCAACAGATAGCCAGGTTTGAGCATTGGAGATCAGGATTCACTTCCCAGTTGGCCATGGGAACCCACTGGATGACATTGGTCAGGTTGCTCACTCTCACCGCCGGAGGTCTTAGGGTGGACATAAGTCAGAAATTAGACACACAACAGCTCAGTAAGCAAAGCTCTCTCTGTGTCTGTCAAAATATAGTTTGACATAATAAAAGCACAATAAAACACAACCAGAGAGAGAGACAGCGAGAGACAGACAGAGAGAGCAAAAACGAATACCATGTCAGATCCTGGAATGCAGACACTTAGCAAACACTGTAACACTTTAATCCTCAACTAAACAACTCACTGAGATTAAGTTACCTTGGCTATTGATACTATGCTGTGTCTACATAATGCTTTCTAAGTGGAGTCCACTTTAATTCACTTTATGTCATGGTTGTCTCCATAGGACATTCTGGTTTGTGTTTGTGGTTACAGTGGGTATGGTTTGAACACACATACACACACACACACGTGGATACCAAAATCAATGGATGCTCAAGTCTCAATAAGTATGATGGCATAATGAAATAGTCTTCCTTATATGAAATAGTAAAATCAAGCTTTGCTTATTTGGATATATATATATATATATATATATATATATATATATATATATATATAAGCCATGCATGGTTGAATCCATATATACTAAATTCATGCATATGGAGAGCGAACGGCATATAATTTTTAAGTTACCAGACTGAAACCTGGAGAAGCTCCAGTACCTTTGTAGGTTGTTCAAATCTTGCTTGTTACCTGGTTGCATGACAAGCAACATTTGCTGAAATTCCCTCTTATACACAACCATTGTTTTGGGTCAGGAGCGGCTTGAGAAACTGCAAGTTGCTTCTGGTGTCAGAGAATTGGCTGTCTGCAAGGATGTTGCCCAGGGGATGCCTGGATGTTTTACCATCCTGTGAGAAGTTTCTCTCATGTTCCCGCATGAGAAGCTGGAGCTGACAGACAGGCGCTCACCCCGCTTCCTGGAATTGAACCGCCAATCTTTCAGTCAGCAGTTCTGCTGGCACAAGAGTTTAATCCATTGCGCCATCAGAGGGTTCTACACAACCTATGGCTCCTACACAACCATGATAAGAGGCGTCTCCAGTTTTCACTTTGGCAAGCTTAGTGGTTTTGCAGGGAAGCCACTGGCAGAAGCCATTAAATAGAATGCCCCATAAAATGCCCATCATAGGGAGGAATAATAATTACTTACTTACTTACTTACTTACTTACTTAGGTGATCCCTCGTAGTCCAAGGATGATGGTCCTCCAAGTGTAGTGTCCTGGCGGTGAGTCCGTAGGTGACTGTTGTACCCTATTCTTGATCTGCATCTTCTCCCACAGTGAGGGCATTGGTTTCCAGGTGGAAGGCGGTCCCAGTCGGGGTTAACTTGACACGCCTTCCTCTTGGCACATTTCTCTCTTTCACCCTCCATTTGTGCCTCTTCAAATTCTGCAGCACTGCTGGTCACAGCTGACCTCCAACTGGAGCGCTCAAGGGCCAGGGCTTCCTAGTTCTCAGTGTCTATGCCAGAGTTTTTAAGGTTGGCTTTGAGCCTCTCATTAAATCAAAATAATAATAATAATAATAATAATAATAATAATAATAATAATAATAATAGCGTCATTGTGGTTCCTGTTCTTTTTCACACTGTTCCAAGTATATGCCTCTAAAGCTTTTTTTTTATTTTTTACCATTGATTGGACTTAGACTTGGCTGGAAAGCCAAGTCAAGGTTGATAGACTCACAGTGGTCAAAGAGGCCACACAATAGTCCTGCCCCTTTCTGCCTTGCAGGAAGGCACAATGAAAGCACTACCAACAGATGGCCATCCAACTTCCAGAAAAGGATATTTCACGGCACTAGCTTGAGTGATATTGAGAGCTACCTGAAGAAGCATCACATTTAAGGACTACATGAGAAAAAGTGATGTGAAAAAAGTGATTATTTTGATGGTAAATGTCTCATATTTTCAAATTTCCTTTCTCTGTTGTTGTTCCAGATCTGCAGTGTCAAGAAAGTCTTGGAGGAGCTAAAGCTGCGTGTGGTTGAGGTTACGGATGAGGGGGCCACTTTGGATGGAAGTGATGTCCTTTTCACAGGTAAATGAACCTGCTTCAATGTGAAGGGCAGCCCTTTTTTCTAGGGAGAGAGCTGAAAACGGATAGCCTTGGAGCTGAGAAAATGGAAGGATTAAGTAAGACATGGAGATTGTATTGTGTGTGTGTGTGAGAGAGAAAGCCTTATAAATCACTTTTCTTATTGAATATGCTATATAAATGATTAATGAGGATAATTATAATGTAGCAGACAGTGGAGTGGTTGATGGGATTTTGAGGGCTTGTGCTCCCCCGCCACCAGCAGGGGTTGGTGAATGGCTTGAAAACAAAACAAAGGAGGATTAAGACTGCCTTGAAGTCAAGGTCTTTAATCTAAAAACCGTTTTCCTCTTAATTTCAGGTAAGTGAAGGTGGGTGTCCGGAAATGAGGAAAGGATTCTTAATGTGTACATAATTATAGAACCATAGAGTTGGAAGAGAATGCAAGGGTCATCCAGTCCAACCCCATTCTGCCAGGCAGAAGAACACAAGCAAAGCACTCCCGACAGATGCCCATCCAGTCTTTGGGTTGTTGTAGGTTTTTCAGGCTATATAGCCATGTTCTAGAAGCACTTCATAACCTCTGAGGATGCCTGCCATAGATCTCAAATTCCATATAATCTGGGATAAACAGATAATCTGGGATCAGATCCTGGGTCTAAAAGTTTTCAATGTTTGTTACTCATTGGAAACCGTCCTGAGTCACCTCGGGGAGAGAAGGTGGATTATAAATAAATTATCATTATCATTATCCTGGGATATAAGGACAGTGTAGAAAGGACAACAGTTAGGCAGGCTTGTGAGTCTAAGGAGACTTTATCCTACTCTGTGTTTAGGACAGATGGCTTATTCCATCTTCTTAATGCCTTTTGTTTTACAGGTAGAGAGTTCTTTGTGGGCATATCCAAATGGACTAATCACAGAGGAGCAGAGATGGTTGCGGATGCTTTCAGGGTGAGCATGACATATAAAACTCAGCACTCCTTCCCTTTAAGATATGTCATTGGCCATCACTTTCCTGTTTTCCTTTACCTCACCATCTTCATTATGGACTGGGCCAGAGGTTCGAATTATTCTTAATAGTGGCAACTCATAGACTTCATCACAATGGGCAGAAGCCCACACAAAAAATACCCTCAACATTTTGGAGAGCTTCTGAGATTAAAACTCAGAATGGATTTATCACTATAGTGCACCTTATAACGCAACTGTGACTTTGCATAACGTACATTGCAAATGGAAACTTGATTAGGTTATTCAGATTATCTTCTAAGAACATTTGTCTGCCACTGTTAATCTTGTTCATCAAGTCTGGTGCTTGGAACATATTTTGAAAACCACTCAATAGATAACAGCATCTCTCTTAGCTTTTCCAGGGTCTACATAACGGTTTTTCCTATAGTCACACCCTGTTGCAACCCAGCAGATCACACTTCCTTTCTTTTAAAAGTGTATTGACATACACATTTTAACAATTTATTATTTATTTTATTTTATTTATTGCTCTATCTTATTCCGGAGACTCAGAGTGGCTTCCAGTCTTGGCAAATATTCAGTGCTGCATCAAAATATAAAAACATACAATACACATCACAATAAACTTTAAAATCAAGTGTGTGTGTCTGTGTGTGTGTGTGTGTGTGTGTGTGTGTGTGTGTTTGTGTATATGCACAGAGCATTTATATATATTAGGCCTGGGTAACAACGGAAAAATTTGTTTCTAAAATCGATTTGTATTTGGGGGTTTTTTTTGTTTCGATATTTAAAATAATTACAAAATTTTCCTTTTAAAAAGTTCGATATTTACGAAATTTCGTAAATGGTAAAAAAAATTAACGAATCGATTTCCGAAACAATAACGAATCGATTCGTTAATGGCGGACGCGACCGCGAAATACGCTAAAAAACCTCCAAAACCTTCTGAAGCTTCCCTCTCCCTCTGTTGTTGACTGTTGGTATGATATTATAATTTTTTTTCACTAATTAAACCATAAAACTGGCCCAGACATGCGGAAATAATAACGAAACGACCTCAAAACAATAACGAAACGAATACAATATCGAAATACGAAGCATTTACAAAACGTTTTTGAAAATTCGTTTTTTTAATAATTACTCCAGAATGGTTCGTTATCGTTTTGTAATTGAAAAAATTAACGAATTATTAACGAATTACGAATTAACGAAACGAAACCGCCCAGCCCTAATATATATATATATACACACACACACACAATTAAAACTGTTAAAACATAGTACCTAATCCTGCTATCGCTTCCGTGGATGTATATTGCACTGTGGTTATGCTACTATTCCACAAATGGCTAGTTCTATAGCTAGGTTTTACTTTCCTCCTGAAAACCAGAAAGGAGGAGGCTGATCTAATATTACTAGGGAGGGAATTCCAAGGCTGAGGGGCCCGTCCCCACCAGTTGCACCTGCGAAGGGCGCGGGACCGAGAGCAGGGTGTCCCCAGCAGATCTTAACACCTGAGTTGGTTCATAGGGGGAGATACGTTTGGATAGGTAAGCTGGGCCAAAATCATTCAGGGCTTTGTAAGATAAAGTCAGCACTTTGAATTGTGCTCGGAAGCAAATTGGCAGCCAGTGGAGCTGATGTAACAGGGGGCTTGTGTGTTCCCTGTACTCTGCACTGGTGAGCAATCTGGTTGCCGGCCATTGGACTACTTGGAGCTTCTGAACAGTCTTCAAAGGCAACCTCACATAGAGTACGTTGCTGTAGTCTATTCAAGATGTAATAAGAATGTGGACTACCGTGGCCAAGTCTGGCTTCTCAAGGTACAGGTGCAGCTAGCACACAAGTTTCAATTGTGCAAAAGCTTCCCTGGCCACCGCTAAGACCTGGGGTTCCAGGCTCAGCGAAGAATCCAGGATCACTCCCAACCTGTGATTTCATGCAGAGTGTAACCCCATCCAACACAGGCTATAACCTTATACCCTGTTCAGCTTTCTGACTGACCAGGAGTACCTCTGTCTTGTCTGGATTCAGTTTCAATTTGTTCACCCTCATCCAGATCGTCACAGCTGCCAAGCACTGGTTCAGGACCTGGACAGCCTCCTTACCAGTTAATGGAAAGGAGTGATACAGTTGGATGTCATCTGCGTACAGATGATGTCCAACGGTGTAATGCTACATGAAGGATTTATGAAAAGGGAAATAACAGAAGGAAAAAAATATGTCAGAATGGTCCCTTGTCTGTTGTCCTTCCAGTTGCTTGAAGATATTTTTGAGTGGATTCCCTGTCCATTGCCATGAAGGCTATGAGTTGACACTAGTAAGAATAATTGGAAGCCCAATCCGTATTCAAGTAGGCTTTTAAAGAACAATGTTTGCAAGACCGATTCAAGGAGCGCTGTATATTGTTTTATTTTTAATTGTTTTAATTGTTTTATTGTCCCAGTTTATTCTGTTTCATTGATTAAATAGCCACATTGAGTCTTTTTTGGGAGATAATAATAATAATAATAATAATAATAATAATAATAATCCAGCATTTATATCTCATACTGTGTTTTTGTGTCAGTAAAATAATAATAATAATAGTTTTAGGGTTTTATTTGTATGTTTTTTGTAGTATTGTTAGCCACACTGAGTGTCTCTTAAGAGACAAAAACAGGATATTATTGTTATTATCTTATCTTATATTATATTATATTATTAGTTGGATATTATATTATTGGTACAAATGATGAGGATGACTAATTGTACTTAACACCAGAAATAAATCTCAAGAACATAAAAAGAACATGTAACTGCATTTCATTTCAGAGGTGGGGAATTAGTAGGAATGGAAGCCCACTTGATTCCTCATTATTGGCTTTGACTGATGCCAGTTAAGGCCAGCAATAGCGAGACCTGAGACCAGAGACCCCAACCTTGCTGAAGTTCTTTTCTAGCTCAGCTGAACAGCTTCTGCCATAGTCCAAATAATATTTTTTCCATGCAGGATTTTGCTGTGTCGACCGTTCCTGTCTCAGGCACATTGCATCTCCGCAGCTTCTGCAGCATGGCTGGATCTGACACGGTTGTGATTGGCAGCAGTGATGTGGCCAAGAAAGCCATGAAGGTAACGCCTAGAATTGCTGAGACTGGGATGGTGGGTTTCTGAAAAGAACAATAGGTTGAGTATCCTTTAAATCAGTGGTTCCCAACCTTTTTTTTTGACCAGGTACCACTTGACCAGGGACCACTCTCCAACATTAGTACCAAAGGGATTACGAATCAGTTTTTGGTCAACTTTAGATTCGGTTTGGTTATTTGGGGTGCTCTTTCAGAAAACTGCATTAGCTAGCTCTAGTTTCTGATACAGAACATACACCATCCAGTCATCACCATCTGCTTGCCCACAGAAAGCATATTTAATAAGCCTTGGCAGTATAAGAGGGTTTGCGAGAGCAGTCGTTCTTGTTGCAATGGTGTAGTAATGTTGAGACTACGGACCACAGTTTAGTTCTTATGCACCACTGGGAACAGGTTGGGAACCACTGGTTTAAATGAGATCCATGGGACCAGAATGTTTTGAGATTGGGATTTTTTTTAAAAAAGATTTAGGAATGTGGATATACATGCAGGGATATCTTGATGGTAGGACCCAGGTCTGAACATGAAGTTCATTTATATTTCATAAACAACAACAACAACACTTTATTTATATTCCACACTTCTCCCCATGGGGACTCAGAGCGGATTACAGTGTAAACAGATACTGGCAAACATTTAATGCATTGTTACAATACAATGAAACACACAAACATGTTTGGCTTTCATGTTTGGCTTTGGAGACGGTGCTCATCTCTGGTTCTGTGGGAGGTGTCTTTCTCCATTTCCAAGCCAAGGGGCCTGTGTTGTCACCTGGTCGTGTGACTGGCATGACTGCTTGGACCGTCTTATCCCTTTCTCATTGAAGTGGCACCTATTTACTCACATTTGCATATTTTCAAACTGCTAGGTTGGTAGTCCTGTGGATTCGAACTGCCGACATTCAGCTCAAAGGTTCAGCAGCACAAGGGTTTGACCCGTTGCGCCACTATGACCCAGTGCTTGTTTTTAAAAACAGAAATAATAAACACAACGTGTGAACGAAATTTCCTATGTGATATTTTAATACTTTTTTGTATGTATGAAACAAAGCTTGAGCACACTGAATCATCAGAAAGCAAAGGTGTCACTGTCTCAGCCATCCATGTGGATGATTTTGGAGAATTTGTGATTTTGGATTTTCAGATGAGGGAAATGGCATCGAATTGTTGCTGATTGTTAGCTGCTCTGAGTCCCTCCATGAGGGAGAGAGGGTGGGATATAAAGCTAAGTAAGTAAGTAAGTAAGTAAGTAAATAAAACCTGCATAAAGTCTGGGTTGTTGTAGGTTTTTCGGGCTGTGTGGCCATACTCTAGAAGCATTGTCTCCTGACGTTTCGCCTGCATCTATGGCAACCTCTAAGGATGTCTGCCATAGATGCAGGTGAAACATCAGGAGAGAATGCTTCTAGAACATGGCCATACAGCCCAAGAAGCCTACAACAACTCAGTGATTCCAGCCATAAAAGCCTTCGACACTGCATAAAGTTCTTAGGTTCACCTCCTTTCCATCCTGGCTTAACCATCTTAGACCAGTTTTGCATTAAAACACTGGTTGAATATGCACAAATCAATGCAGACAAATGGTCAGGCTTGTTGTATAGGTATTCTTATTTATGCCCAATTTGGACACCAAGTGGTCTGTCAGAAGAAGGAAAGCTCTTATATCACATCCATCAAAATCCGCAGCAGGCTGTTTGTTGGGGGAACAGAATTCTTTCTTTCCCTGACAGCCCTTGGTAAGGGAGGCGGAGAAAAAGCAGTCTGCTCATTGTGCAGACTGTTTTTCAAGGTTATAGTAACACAGCTGGTTTCCCTTAATGGCTGGCTACGTCTGCATAGAGAGCCAGCATGGTGTAGTGATTTGAGTATTGGACTAGGCCAGCATTGAAATCCTTGCTCAGCCATGGAAACCTACTGGGTGACCTTGGGCAAGTCACACTCTCTAGCTGTTAGAGGAAAGCAATTACAAGTATCCTGTAAACAAACATTAGCAAGAAAGCTCTAGGGTAGAGTCTCCATAAGTGAGGGTCAACTTGAAGGCAGCAAAAACAACATATGTTCAGGAATATAATAAACTGTTACATACTGAATCAGACCAATGGTTTATCTTGCTTTGTTTCACCGACTTTTGTTGACAGATTGCAACCGTTCACCAAAGTTTCAGGAAGGGTTCTTTCCTAGCTTTTACTTGGAGATCACTAATGCTCTCTTAGCAAAAGCTTGATTCTGCTTAGCCTTTGAAATTAGATAGTATCAGAATTGGGATTCAACCCCACACTGCCCAAGTCTCAAGTCCTCAACGAGGAGCAGTTAGTTAGTTTAGTATAGTAAAATTGATACTTTTCTACTGCAAGCCTTTGAATCTGCCTTCTGTCTTATCACTCTTCCAATTTCTTTCCTGAAGACCATGGAGCAATTAACAGACCACCACTATGAAACGCTGACGGTGCCTGATGACCCAGCTGCCAACTGCATCTATGCTCGGCTGGGCCAGAAAAGCAGTGTCCTCCTGCATCGCAGTACGGAGGAATACCCCAACAGTGTGCAGGTCAGATGAACAGAGGCCTTGTAGAATGGGGAAGAAGGTTGGGGTTTTTTTTTGTCGTGTCAGGAGTGACTTGAGAAACTGCAAGTCGTTTCTGGTGTGAGAAAATTGGCCATCTGCAAGGACGTTGCCCAGGGGACCCCCGGATGATTTGATGTTTTCAAATCCCGGACGCCGGGACGATTTGATGATTTGATGATTGGAGTGCATTCTGCATGAGGAGCTGGAGTTGATAGAGGGAACTCATCCGCCTCTCCCTGGATTCAAACCTGCAACCTGTCGGTCTTCAGTCCTGCCGGCACAGGGGTTTAACCCACTGCGCCACCGGGGGCTCCGAGGGTTGGGATTCATGCAAAGAGCCAAAGCAATAGCTGTGGCTTCTGTTTGGGCACATCTGGGAATAAACTGAAACCAGGTCAAAGATTATTTGCTAGCTGAGCCTGCTGTGCAAGGGTTGATAACTTATGTGTTGACCTGTATACCTTTAAGAACCAGCACAGAACTTTGTTTGCTTTATGTCTGCACAAAGCCAGCTGTCATGTGTAGTCCTGGCTGTTAATCCACAAGAGTCTTTGAGAAAGTGGGAATAATGTACAGCTAACATTTCAAAGGTGCACAGAGGATAATGGATCAATACAGTTCACAGTCTCATAGGTCTAAGTTTTGGTTATTTTTCAGAAGAAAACTTGGAGATATACTCAGCTGACGCAGTAGTCTCCATGCACCTTTGGAAGTCTCCTTTATCTGGATTGCGACAAGCAGGACAAATAAGGACCATGATTTGAGATATCGTAGAGGTTTTGAAACTTTGAATTGCTCTAGGGCAGTGTTTAAAAACCTTCCTAATGCTGTGACCCCTTAATGTAGTTCCTCATATTGTGGTGGCCCCCAATCATAACATTATTTTTGTTGCTACTTCATAACTGTAATTTTGCTACTGTTATGAATCATCATGTAAATATCTGATATGCAGGATGTATTTTCATTTACTGGACCAAATTTGGCACAAATATCCAATACTCCCACATTTGAATAGGGGTGGGGTTGGAGGGGATTGATTTTGTCATTTGGGAGTTGAAGTTGCTGGGATTGATAGCTCTCCTATAATCAGAGAGCACTCTGAATTCTACCAATGATGGAATCAAACCAAACTTGGAACACAGAACTCCCATAACCAACAGAAAATTCTGGAAGGGTTTGGTGGGCATTGACCTTGAGTTGTAGTTCACCTACATCCAGAGAGCACTGTGGACTCAAACAATGATGGATCTGGACCAAATGTGGCACAAATACTCAATGTGCCCAAATGTGAAAACTGGTGGAGTTTGGGGAAAATAGACCTTGACATTTGTGAGTTGTAGTTGCTGGGATTTGTAGTTTTCTGAACCCCACCGACAATAGAATTGGGCCAAACTTCCCACACAGAACCCCCATGACCAACAGAAAATGCTGTGGTTTCTGTTGGTCTTTGGTGACCCCTCTGACACCCCCTCACGACCCCCCAGGGGTCCCGACCCCCAGGTTGAAAAACACTGTCCTAGAGATTCCCACAGACACTTTAAGGGGTAATATTTTCGGTCTATGTAAGTGAAGCCATGGATATTAAGTCTGTGGAAAGGGGGATCATGTTATACATTTCATCTCCTGATGCACTACAGTTAAGAAGGGGAAGACATCTTGACCTGCTTTGCAAATGACCTATTTACACTTGTGATAAGACTTTGTGATAAGGCTCCTTTGGGTAAAGTCTGGGTCTGACTTGGCAGGGTGAGGCAGATGCATAACCCAAGGGTCAACTTTTGTGCTCTATGGCGACAGGGTTTGTTTGGTCTCTGCGGAGGCAGAGTTAAGGGGATTTCTATTTGGAAAGAGACTAACCGATTTCTGTCTGTTCCCTTCCTCAGCCTTTCCAGAAACTTCCAGACTACACCCTCATCCCTGCTGCATGCACCGAGGTAGCCAAACACGGGGGGACTCTCAGTTCCTGCTCTCTTCTGATCAACAAGAAGCTGGAGATCTAGTGCCTCTTTGGATCCCATGGAAACTTGGGTTCTTGCAATCCCTGACAGTCAACCCTATTTTCCTCAGTTCCTATGTGCAGAGTGACATCCCTGCTTCTCTTAGCATCTTTGTGAGCCAAGAACACCACCCAAATGTGCTAATATGGCCCATCTTCAACTTTGCAGATGTTTCTTTTTCTATTTGCATTGGACCTTCCCTGCAACCCTAACCGTCTCCATTTTCTGGCTCTGGTTGCGACTGTGAATGACTGTCACCCCAGAAATGTTTGAAGAAAAACCCTAGTGGGACACCAGAGGCCATTGCTTATCAGTGAGCCATATTAGCAAGGGCTGCTGAATTGTTTTAACTCATTCAGCACCACTAACTTCTCTCTTTCATTGTTTCTGATTATATTTGGGGGAAATCATTTAGGAAAGTACAAGAAGGGATGAATATCCATCATGCCATTGCAAACTCTAAACGGTGACCAACATAGGTCCATTCCTCCCTGTTTTAAAGTTTACACAGATGGCATTCTAGTATTGGAGGCTCCTAATGGTGGTCTCCAACTGTTTTGATGGGTAGGCCAATATTGTCTTGTTTCCCAGCTGGACAATGCCAGTACTATGGATATAGGATTACTTGGAGACTCCTCTGTTTGTACAGCAACCAATTATAATGTTGGATGCATCTTGCTATATACACAAAGATGTCACTTGTGCATTGTGTATGTCTTACCCTAAGACCTTCAGTGACTTGGCTCTAGAAGTTATTCTTAAAGCAGAACAGGGGATGGTTTCGCAATGTTGAGTAGTAGCTCCCATCAGCTCTAGCTAGAGTGACCAGCGGTGAAAGATGGTAAGAGTCCTATGGGCCACATATTACCCATTCTCCTAACTTTATCTATCTTAAATGGTCCCTATGGTCTGCTACATTCATTTTTATGGTGCTGCCATTTGGAAAGGGGGAGTTCAGGTAGAGTGACCCCTCTCCTCCCTCAACCCAAACTCAAACGACTGCTTTCCCACTGCCGCCACAACGGATGACCTCTCTGCATATCTTCAGGGTCGAAGCAGCCACTGAGGAGCAGCTTTGGAGGAAGAAGGCACTTGTGAAGGATGCTGCTTCCTCTCCCAAGGCACTGTGTACGTGTTTTGTGTAACTGTAGTTAGAGGGCGTTCGTAGGAGTGGAAGGCGTAGAGGGAGCGCCCTCTGTTGGGGAGTAGGCGTAATGACAGGATGTAGGACTTAATGTAGATTCACGCACTGCCTCTTTAACCTCTTGTGACATTTGAAAAATTAAAAAAAGACTGAACCAATGCATGAGCTTGATGAATCTTTCTTTGGTGTATGGATATGACTTCTGGGATTGCCAATGTGTTATCCCCCGTTTTGGTTTTTTTTAGTCAGATGGACAAACACAACTTTGTTCAATTTTAGATGAAATTATTATAAAGGTAAAGGTTTTCCCTAACATTAATTCTAGTCATGTCCAACTCTTGGGGGTGGTGCTCATCTCCATTTCTAAGCTAAAGAGCTGGCATTGTCCATAGACACCTCCAAAGTCATGCAGCCAGCACCATTATATATCTTGCAATATTTATCCTGGAGATAAAATTAACATGTTTCGGAGAGATTGGGAAGGTTTTCTGTTATTGTATAAGCTATCATGCTTACATCCAGAAGTAAATTTTTTATTTATCATGTCAGGAGCGAACCGGACAGTTGCGTTGCATTTTTTAACAAACAAACAAACAGACAGACAAAACACAAAGTTTGCAAACTTGGTAGTTGATTAAATGTCCTTTGAGTAGTAGGTGATTGAGGTTCTGGGTTTGAGCCTGCCTTGGACTCTCGCTTGCTGGGGTGTTCCAGCGAGTGTCTCTGTAGATCTTAGAAAACTATTTATTGATTTAAGTCGTTGACGTGCTGGCTGATACCCAAACAAGGGATGGGCTGGAGATGTCACTGCCTTGGTCCTTTCACTGTAGATTTGGAAGAGACCACATGGGCCATCTAGTCCAACCCCCTGCTATGCAGGAAAGTACAATCAAAGTATCCCTGACAGAACAGTCATCATAGTCATAATTAGAAAAGACCTCAAATCCAATTTAATACTGGACATAGTGTAGTCATCATAGTCATGATTGGAAATAGACCATACAAGGCCTGCATCTATTCTGAAACTGGATCCACTGTAATTGTGATAGATATGGCTAGAATAGACCACAAAAGGCCTGCATCCAGCCTTAAACTGGATTTGATGAACAGACTCTACAAGGCTTGTTTCCAGTCCTAAACTGGATCAATTACAGTCATGCTTAAAACGGATCTTACTGAGTGTAGCTCCAATGCCCCCCTTCTTCTGCTATCAATTATTTGTTTGTTTACTATATTTATACCCTGCCCTTCTCACCCCGAAGGGGACTCAAGGTGGCTTACAAACTATGGCAAAAATTGATTGTCGCATCGTGCACATAACATTAGCATTATCTAAAAAGGCATTGGTTGTACAATATATGGAAAGTTCTATTTTTGAATCTGGGAACTGTTAGGTTGTCTCTGTGTAGTCCTCTTGGAAAGGTAGGACAGTTCCCAAGTTTCCTGATTTTCAAAAAGAGATCATGAGCAATGTAGTCATGTCTCTTTCAAGAACTGTTTTGGACCCACCAAACCAGACTCTCCGTGAGGCTGAACAATCAATGGTTATCAGTCAATCTCCAGTCCATTAGGCTCAAATTCAGCCTAAGCTTTCATGTCAATCACAGCTTGAATGGCCAAAGTGTCATTACAGATGTATGAAGTCCTGGGAGAATGGAGTAAGTTCAAAGGGCAAAACTCAGGAAGGCCACTGGCCACATTGGTTTCGTTCACAGGACGCTGGAATGAAGATGATGACTCCAGAGGTCGAAATGATCTGGAAATATGGTGCTTGTTGTCTTGATCCAGGAGAGTGAATGTGACCTGATAGAAAGAGGAGTACAAAACGGTATATTTCTATTAAAATTCCTTGATTCATTAGAACGCTCTGAAGAAATCCAGGGAGGGAAGACAGGTGCTACAGGGGAAGGAATACTTAATCCTGTAGATGTGTGATCACACATCTATAGGATCAATATCTATAATAATCTAATGGAGAGGCTGGTATAATAATAATAATAATAATAATACTAGCAAAAGAAGGCTCTCCATGGACAGTTCCTTGGAAAAATTGGGAGCCATATTGACAACGAAAAAACATGGATGTGGCTCACAAATGGAACTTTGAAAAAGGAGACGGAGGGCCTGATTCTGGCAGCCCAAGAACAAGCCATTAAAACAAATGCCATCAAAGCCAAAATTGAAAAATCGACAACAGATCCGAAGTGTAGACTCTGCAAGGAAGCAGATGAAACAATTAAGATCGTGCAGTCAGACTACAAGCAGAGGCATAACACCATTGCTCAGATGATTCCTGGAACTTGTGCCACAAATACCATCTGCCTGCGACAAAGAACTGATGGGACCACAAGCCTGAAAAAGTTACAGAAAATGAACATGTTAAACTACTCTGGGACTTTCGAATTCAGACTAACAGAGTTTTGGAGCTTGTTAAGTGATCCCTCGTAGTCCGAGGATGATGGTCCTCCAAGTTCGGTCTTGGTGGTGGGTCCGTAGGTGATTGTGGAGCCCTATTCTTGATCTGCATCTTCTCCTGCAGTGAGGGCATTGGTTTCCAGGTGGAAGGCGGTCTCGGTCAGGGATGTGCCTTCCTCTTGGCACGTTTCTCTCTTTCACCCTCCATTCGTGCCTCTTCAAATTCTGCAGCACTGAGATGGCATTGTCCATAGACACCTCCAAGGTCATGTGGCAGGCATGACTGCATGGAGCGCCGTTACCTTCCTATTGATCTACTCACATTTGCATGTTTTTGAACTGCTAGGTTGGCAGAAGCTGGGGCTAACAGCGGGAGCTCACACCACTCGAACCAGTGACCTTTCGGTCAACAAGTTCAGCAGCTCAGCGGTTTAACCCACTGCACCACCAGGTGCTCCAATGCCTTTCCATGCTGCCATTCCATTTTCCTTGTATGGAATGTCTCAATTACATTGTGTGCCTGAGGCTAGGGAACTGTTTAGTTGTTATTTTACTTGTAAATGCCAAGTTACACGCAAAGTGTTTAAACCCATATCTGGTGTCTTTGGGTATTTTTCAGGCTTATAGTCTTGGGTGACAGTTATTCAGTTCCCCCTCTACTCTGGGTCATAAGAACAGACACACCTGATTACGCAATGTACAGTGATGGTGCTAGATAAAAAAATGATGATGATGATATCTCATACTCTCTTACAAAAATGATATGAAAGCTCCTCCTACCTTATGTCGGAAAGGCCACTTAAGCTGAAAATCATATTCCCCTTTCATCAGGACCAGGAAGAGTGAGAGGTGGGTTCCAGTTCCTGTCCCGTCTCCATTCAGGAACACCTTGAGGCAGACTTTGTAACCATAGCGGCTGGTGTAAAATGCTTTGATAGCAGAGAGGAAAAAAACAAAGTAGTGTAAGAATGCAGGATAATGATTTTTTTTCCAGTGGGCAAACATTGTTAATGTCTTCTGTCATTTTCCAGACCAGCACCTGTAGTGCTGTGTGGGATAAGAGGGGAAGTGACCCAAGGTGGAGGACTCAAACTGGACCTGATGGGATGGATATATGGCTGCTGTTTGCCTCCCACATCTCTTCACATTTTCCCAGTAAAAGTTAAGTATAGGAAGGTTCTGAGTGCAATGATATCATCATGCGTACAGCTTGAGCATCCCTTTTCTGGAAATGCAAAACACTCCAAAATTGTCAACATATCTGGCTGAAATAGGGACCCCTTTGCTTTCTGATGGTTCAGTAGACACAAGCTTTGTTCCATGCATAAAGTTATTGAAGACACTGTGCATAAAATTACCTTCAGGGTATGTTATAAAACATAAGTGCATTTGTATTTAGACTTGTGTCATATCTCCAAACATTTCATTATGTTCATATATGTAAATAGAGATATTTCAAAAGCTGAAAAAAAATATCCAGAACACTTCTGCTCCTAAGCATCTGAGATAAGGGATACCTAGACTGTATTTATTATAGCAAAACATCTCCCATAGGGATAGATACCTATTATTTATTTATTTATTTATTGCACTGGTTGAGCAATTATGAGAGCAGTAATCCAAAAAAGGGAATGTACATCCCATATAGAGTACTGCAACGCTCTCTACGTGGGGTTGAAGACTGTCCGGAAGCTTCAAATGGTCCAACAGACGGCAGCCAGATTGCTAACAGGAGTGGCGCGCAGGGAGCACACAACTCTTCTGTTGCGCCAGCTCCACTGGCTGCCAGTTTGCTACTGGGCACAATTCAAAGTGCTGGCTTTAACCTATCAAGCCCTAAACGGTTCTGGCCCAACTTACGTGTCTGAACTCATCTCCCCTTATGAATCATCTAGGACACTGGTTCTCAACCTGGGGTACCCAGATGTTTTTGGCCTATAACTCTCAGAAATCCCAGCCAGTTTGCCAGCTGTTAGGATTTCTGGGAGTTGAAGGCCAAAAACATCTGGGGACCCCATGTTGAGAAACACTGATCTAGGACCTTAGGATCATCTGGGGAGGCTCTGCTCTCGGTCCCACCTTTGTCACAAGTACGTTTGACGGGCATGAGAGATAGGGCCTTCTCAGTGGTGGCCCCTTGGCTATGGAACACCCTCCCTAAGAATATCAGATTGGCCCCCTCCATTTTGATCTTTCGAAAAAAGGTCAAGACTTGGCAGGTGTTTGCTGCAAATACATTGTAATGGACATAGGAAAATGGAATGGTTGACAACGTTACTGGACAATGTTTTAACAAGGAGACCCTAATGAATATGTGTTTTTAATTGACTTTGCTATGGTTTTATATTCCCTAATTGTTTTTATGGTATGGAAATTGTATTTTATGGTCTTGGTACCAACTGTACCCTGCCCCGAGTCGCCTGTGGGCTGAGAGGGATGGCATATAAATATAGTAAATAAATAAATAAATAAATATATCCAACCTCTGAATTTTATGTTTGAAATTTTGTTCACATTTCCCTAAGGTATAGATTTTCTTTTTTAAATTTCAGAGTTTTTGTTTACTTAGTCACAGGATTTGAGATCTTTTGATGATGGACTTTCCTGACAATCCATGATAAGTTACCTGCACTGTATACACCATAAGATTTCCAACAGGAGATTTTTTTATAAAACCAAAATGCCTATGTCTCTCTTTTTTCTATCCATATTTTTGTTCACTCACCGGGGGAATAACAGGCCGGGCGATTTCCAGTTTGTGCTTCCTGACTTCTAAGTCCCACCTCTGGGATTTTCCAGAGAAGACACCCATCGTAAGTGGTCTGCTCCAAGGTATGGATCCGGGATGCCATGTTGCTGATCATCACATCCTTCAGGGCCAGGAGTGAGTCTTGCTGTTCCACCTTAAAAGAGATAGATTCATAGAATCATAGAGCTGGAAGAGACCTCACGGGCCATCCTGTCCAACCTCTTGCCAAGAAGCAGAAAAATCAGTCAAAGCACCCCCAACAGATGGCCATCCAGCCTCTGCTTAAAAGCCTCCAAAGAAGGAGCCTCCACCACACTCCAGGACAGAGAGTTCCACTGCTGAACAGCTCTCACAGTTAGGAAGTTCTTCCTAATGTTCAGGTGTAATAACACATAAAACAGTTTGTTCAGGTTGACATGAGTCTGAATCAGAGATGAGCAGCATACTGAATTGGTGTGTGTGTGTGTGTGTTGAAATCACTTGTTTTACAGAGAGACCATGTATTTCATAGGGTTTTCTTCACAAAAATAATAATACTCAGAGGTGGTTTTGCCAGTGTCTGTCTCTGAAATAGAGTCTACAGCATCTGGGATTCTTTGGTGGGTCTCCTATCCAAGTACTAACCAAAACTGATCCTGTATAGTTTCTTGGTTCAGATGGGATTTGGGGAATTGAGGCAAAGCAAGATACAATTAGATAATGAAACTATAAGATAATGGAATATGCTGCCTTGTGTTGGAATTCAGCCCCACACTACCCAAGTCTCAAGTCCTCAATGAGGAACAATTAGTTAGTCGAGTGGTTCTCAACCTGTGGGTCCCCAGGTGTTTTGGCCTACAACTCCCAGAAATCCCAGCCAATTCACCAGCTGTTAGGATTTCTGGGAGTTGAAGGCCAAAACATCTGGGGACCCACAGGTTGGGGACTCCTGATACAACTAAAGGTTTCCCTTCCCCTATGTCTCCTGTATGACAGTTGGGAATGTTATCTATTTCTTCTCTCTGTTTC